TTTTTGCCTCACGACTTTGCTTGTAGTCTATCTTTCTGTTTCTTTCAGCTTGTAAATCTCTTACTGTTAGCTATTGCCAGCAAGCTACAATTTTGGTATTTTGTTGTTTAAAATTTCTTTAGGCACTTGAGTTTACAAATATATCATTTCCTATACATAGTTAAAATAATTTCTTATTTTTTCTAACTATAGGTAAACTTATATAAGTCTTAGACAAACGTGAAAGGCACAAAGAAAGACAATGAAAATTACATATTATTCCATTATCTATACCATTAGCACTGTTTGGATGGGTATCATAACTTTTTTGGCACTTTTTCTCTATTTGTGTATATTTATATAGTCAGGTAAATTCCGTAATGCTATTTGATAAACTGCATTTTTCAAATAATGTATCTATTCAAAGTGAAAGTGAAAGTTGCTCAGTGGTGCCTACTCTTTGCTACCAGGTGGATTGTAACCCAGCAGGCTCCTCTGTCCATGGAATTTTCCAGGCAAGAATACTGGAATGGGTTGCCATTTCCTTCTCCAGGAGATCTTCCCAACCCAGGGATCGAACCTTGGTCTCCTAGAGTTGCAGGCAGAGTCTTTACCTTTTGAGCCACTAGGGAAGCCCATGATCTATTCAAATAATGTATCTAGAGCACGTTTATGCCAATAGTGCTTAGTCGTGTGCCACTCTTCGTGACCCCATGGACTGTAGCCTACCAGGCCTCTCTGTCCATGGGGATTCTCCAGGCAGGAATATTGAAGTGGGTTGCCATGCCCTCCTCCAGGGGATCTTCCCAACCCAGGGTTCGAACCCAGGTCTCCAGAATTGCAAGCAGATTCTTTACTGTCTGAGCCATCAAGGAAGCCCAAGTATGAATGTACATTGTTTAAATTTTTGCCTAGTACCATCAAAGTAATTTGTCTTTGTAAGGTTAAAATTATAATGCAGAACTGTATTAAATTTTTGAAAATCTATGTGTGTTTTAAATTAAAAGAGATCTGTTTTATGAGAAAAGAATTATATTGTCCAGAAGTGAACTAGAGGCAACAGAAATGGAGACTAGAGAATAAAGATTTGTTATGTTCTTGTTAAGAGAAGCAATGTATATATAACAAAGTATAATTGCAACCAAGAATCAAACAACTGGTGCCAAAATAGCATAGGAAACTTAATGCTGGATCAGTTTATACAGCACTCTAAAATTACCAGCTTAATGCAGGACTTTAAGACATAGTGTATAGCATTATTATTATTATTATTATTATTATTGGTGAACATTGCTGCCATCTATCTGCATATTGCAAGCACACTTAATTAACTTTAATAACACTATTGACTGCCAAGTTAATAATCTTTGAATCTCAAAATAATTTTGTCAGAAAAACCTAAGTAAATATACTTAACAAACGGAGTAAGGACATTCTCTTACATTAACAATAGCATTATAATATCTAAGAAAATTTACAATTCTCTGTCATCCAATGGTCAATATTTTCCTTTTCCACTGTTGCTTAATGCTCTAATATAGCTTCTTTGATCTGAACCAGACTCTGATCAAAGCTCACACATTGCCTTTGGTTTGTATGTCTCTCTCTCTCATGTTCTTAATTTTTCAAGGTAAGTTTATTGAGGTATTATTTAGTTGCTAAGTCATGTCCCACTCTTTTGTGACTGTAGCCTGCCAGGCTCCTCTGTCCATGAGATTTCCCAGGCAAGAATACTGGAGTGAGTTGCCATTTCCTTCTCCAGGGGAGATTGCAGGCAGATTCTTTACCACTGAGTGACCAGAGAAACCCCTATTGAGGTATAATTTACAACAAAGTTTACCCTTTTAAAAATGAACACACTTTTAAGAGTTCTGAAAAATACATATAGTCATGTAACCACCACTATAATCAAGACATAAATTATTATTTCCAAACTGCAAAAATTTCCCTCTGACTCTCTGTGGTCAGTGTCTTCTTCCCCCATGACATCATCCTCTGGTAATCACTGATCTCATTTCTGTTCACATAGTTTTATATAGTTATGCACATGGGTTCATGCCCAGCTCTGCTGTTTAATGGTAGTGTGATCTTCAGCAGTTACTTAAAGACTGTTCCATTTCTGTTGACTATAAAATGTCAATATTAGCTGTCTTTTCTCATAGGAATGTTCTAAGAATTAAATAAGTTATTGCATAGAGAACATTTAGGATAGAACTTGCCATACAGTATGAACTCAGTAAATAATTGTGTGTATTACTATTTCAAGTGTGAGACCAAATTATATAATATAGTCTGGTTGGCAAAACTTCTGCTAGACCAAGTCTAAAAAGCACCATAATAATACCAGTAACATCATTTATTGAATTCTTGCTATGTTTTAGGCATTTCAACTAGATCTCAAAACAAATTAATCCAGATTTCAACAACTTTAACATTATTCCTATTTTACAGACAGGAGAATTGAGAAACTTACAGTTTAACTTGCTCATTATGGCAGAATTAGTGAAGTAGAGTGAAACTTGGACTTGTCTGATTTTTCAATGCTTCTTTCCTACAAAAAAAAAAAAGTTTTCTGGTAACAACATTTGTTAAAACATTACAGATTTAAAAAAAATTACTTGTTCAACTCTTTATCAATTAATTTATTCAATAAATAATATATTTTATTACATAGTTATTGACTATATTCCCTATGCTATACATTTCGTATCTGTGACTCATTTATTTTGAAACTGGAAGTTTGTACCTCTTAATCTTCCTCACCTATTTCTTGCCTCCCCCATCCTCCCTATAACCACCTGTTTGTTCTCTGTATCTAAACTGTTTTGATCTTGTTAAGTTTGTTCTTTTGTTTCTTAGACTAAACATAAAAGTGAAATCATACAGTATTTGTCTTTCTCTTGTCAGACTTATTTCACATAGCATATTACCCTCTAGGTCCATCCATGTGGTCAGAAATGGAAAGATTTTATTCTTTTTTATGATCCAGTAGTAGTCTTAATTCCTTCATCTGTTGATGGACACTTAGGCAGTGTCCAATCTTGGCTGTTGTAAACAGTGCTGCTATGAATATAGGGGTGCATAAATATTTATGAATTAGTGTTTTTTTGAATTTTGTTTTCCTTGGATTAAATACACTGCAATGGAATTGCTGAATCATATGATATTTCTATTTAAAATTTATCTCTGCATTGTTTTTCATAGTGGCTATACTTACCTACAGTGCCACCAACAGGGCACAAGTGTTTCCTTTTCTCCATATTAGCCAACACATGTTATTTGTTGTCTTTTTGATAATAGCCATCTGACAGACATGTGAAGTGTGATTTTCTTTATGGTTTGATTTGCACTTCTAATTTGATAATTAGAGATGTTGAGCAATTTTTTTCTATTCTTTTTCAAATTCTTTTCCTATTTAAGTTCCTACAGAATATTGAGCATCATCCCTCTGCTATACAGTAGGTCTTTATTGATTACCATTTGAAATATAGCAATGTGTACATGTCAATCCTCAAATCCCAATCTACCCCTCCCCGCTCCCCTCTTCCCTTCTGGTAACCATAAGTTAGTTTTCTAAGTGAGTCTGTTTCTGTTTCGTAAATAAGTTCATTTGTATCTTTTTCTTTTTTACATTCTGTATATAAGTGATATCATAAGATATTTGTCTTTCTCTGACTTAATTCACGTAGTATGATAATTTCCAGGTCCATCCATGTTGCTCCAAATGGCATTATTTCATCTTTTTAACGACTGAGTAATATTGCATTGTATATATGTATCACACCTTCTTTATCTATTCCTCTTTTGATGGACATTTAGGTTGCTTCCATGTCTTGGCTACTGTAAACAGAGCTGCAATAAACATTGGGGTGCACATATCCTTTTGAATTATGTCTTTCTCCACATATGTGCCCAAGAGAGTGATTGTTGGATCATATGGTAGCTCTATTTTTAGTTTTTTAAGAAATCGCCATACTCTTCTCCATAGTGGCTGTACCAGTTTACATTCTACCAACAATGTTGGAGGGGTCCCTTTTCATGTTGAACATCTTTTAATGTATCTATTAGTCATCTGTATTACTTCTTTAGAAAATGCCTATTTAGTTCCTCTGCTCACTCTTAACTGGGTTCTTTAGCTTTTTGATGTTAAATTATGAGTGCTTTGTATATTTTGGGTGTTTACTCCTTATTGTATGTACCACTTGCAAATACCTTCTCCCCTTCAATAGGTGGCCTTTTCATTTTTTTGATAATTTCCTCCACCATGCAAAATATTTTTAGCTTGATAAAGCCCCATTTATTCATTTTTTTTTTTTCATGGTTGGTTTTGGCTAAACTTTTTATTTAGTATTCTGTAGTTGCTTAACACACACTTAAATGGTCTTATTGGGGAGGGGGAAAGGGGAGGTTCTTGTAGATTCCCAAGGAAATGTCAGAAAGGCAAAATATGGCCAGCATTATCCATTTGCTTTTTTCTGGGTTTACTGGGTGAATAGCACTTTCCTTACATATATGCATCTGATCTCAGGTTTTTCATACTGAGAACATTTGAGATTTCAGTTTGAAGACACTCTGAAATCCTAAGAGTAGCATCCCCCGACCACCCTCTAATAGCTAGCTTGTTTATATAGGCAGGAGGATTCATCTCTCCATTTTAGATGACTAGATATTTTGTGTAAGATAAACTGCTTGCCTCATCATTTACTGGGGAAAATCCTATAAGAAGTGGCCTTTAGGGACACTTTTACTTGGAAGATTACACCACTAGTACACATGTCAAGTCTTAAACACACTTAACGTTTCATTTGCTTGTTGAAAGCAATGTCATAAAATCAAAGATTAAACATGTTTTACTTTCTTTCCTCACAAGAACATAAAAATTATGGAAGGGGAACTTAACAGGAAATTTAAAAAAAGTAACACAATCTTTCCTTTTAGTAGTCCTTGGGTAGTTATGATAGAACAGATTCCACTTTTGTTTGTTTCTTTGAACAGGGATTTTGGTCCAAAGTTGTTTGTTTTTAATATCTGCTTCTGCCTCCCCCTCTATCAGATCGGCTTCCTCCACGGCCACCACCTCTTGGTGCTCCGCGGCTTGAACTGCTGTAGGAATCTCGTGGAGGAGGGTACCCCCTTTCCATAGAAGGGGGAAGCCCTCTTTCTTGTCTGCCAACCCGATCACGACCACTTGAGTAGAGATCACTTCGGCTGCTTGAGTAACTGTCTCGACTTCCACCATATCCGTCACGTGAGCTGCTGTAATCATCATAGCGACTGCTTCCACCATAAGATGGCGGGGGCCCTCGTGTAGGTGGAGCACTATGTGAGTTACCATAACTCTCATATGAATCTCTGTAGGAACCTCCACTTGGATGATCTGAATAGTCACGATCACGACCATAGCCATCTCTATCACTATAGCCTCTTGATGGATAGTCATCACGTGAACTGGAATGACCATAATTACGGTAAGTATAATCTCTTGGTGGTGGTGCATAATCTCTTGTATCACGAGAACTTGGATAATCTCTGCTTGAATAGCTGTCTTTAGTAGAATATCCATCATCTCTTGGGGACAAATAAACATCTCTACGAGAGGGCAAGGGCTCCCTTCGAGGTGGACCTCCGTAACTATCTCTTCCACGTGATACAGGAGCTCTTCCTCCCATTCCACTGCTGCTTCGAACTGGTCCTGAAGGGGCAGATCTTTTAGGAGGAGGACCCCCACTTCGTGGTGGTGGTCCTCTTTTTACCGGAAGTGGTCCCCTGGAAGAACTCATGTTAAAATTCATGGAATAGCCACCATCATCCATGTGCCCTCCGTGGGATGGAGGTCCCCTGGTTCCTCCACTTCCTCCTCTTCCTCCTCGAAGACCCCTGGGAGGGCCTCTGCTTCTTGGAGGTGGAGGTGGTCCACGTCTGCCACTTTCAAATGACGGTTTAGTGGCCTGTTCTACCTTGATGGCTTTTCCATCTAAGGACTTTCCATTCATGTCTCTGGCTGCATCCTTAGCATCTGCTGGACTTTCAAAGGTGACAAAAGCAAATCCTCTAGATTTATTGGTTTCACGATCTTTCATCAAGAGAACTTCCACTATTCGTCCATATTTGCCAAATACTGCTTCAAGAGCTTTCTCATTTGTTTCTGTATTGAGGCCACCGATAAAAAGCTTTCCTGGGCGATCTGCCTCAACCATTTTTCCCCCCTGGTTAAAATTGGAGAGGTGACGACGGTCTCAAGCTCCTACGAGCTCGCCAACAGCGGCTTCCTAGCAGCTCGGCACGCGGGAGGGCGGCCGATCCTGAGAACGGAAGCTGTAAGGCGCTCGCACTACTGCGCAACGAGCCCATTTATTCATTTTTGCTTTTGTTTCCCTCGCCTAAGGGAAGGAAATCCATTTTCTGATTTGAGTTCCCTGATACATTTTTTATTAAATCATAAAAAATGTCATAGAATCATAAAATGGTCAGGTCTAGTCAGTCTTCAGAGCATCTAAGTAAACTTTCCCATTATGTAAATAAGGAACCTGCCAAAATGGTGCCAGAGCTGGTCATACATGAGATAGCTAGTCCACTGAGCAGGTTTCAAGGCTTCTGATTAGGATTTTCAGGACATCACACTTAAGTGGTATGTACTTACATAGATCATTTAGTTGGCACTGCCTCACAAAAATAGTAATAATTCCCTCCCCCCCGCCACGTAATGGGCGGGGGGGGGAGAAATATATCATCCATCACCATTATTAATATACCATTATTCCTTTCAGAGGTGATGCATAAGTGGGCTGGGGTGTGGCTAATGAACCTGCACAGTAAAACATTACTCTTTAACTGTTTTCAGCAATTTTTTACCTTGTATCCTTCCAAACATTACTTTTTACTGTGTAATGGGACCATCAAGAAGTTTTACACCTCCTCCCAGTGGGAAAGAGGGCAAGTGAGCCAGAAAATGACCAGGAAGCTGTGGGAGCGAGAGATTAAGCCTTTGGGAGGAAGGGGTGGGGCTGCGGGGTGGGGCTGCGGGGTGGGGCGGGCGGGGCTACGAAAAGGCGGAGAGGCGAGTACAAGTGAGGGGCTGGCACACAACGTCTTTCTTCCGTCGGAGTCGGCAAGGCCATTTTGCGCATGTGCAGTCCGTTTTAAATTGCGTAGTGCGCGGCGCGCGGCTGGGCGCGCTGGCTAGCTTGGGGCTTCTCGGAGCCCGCCCTCTCCCTCTCTCTCGTCTAAGGGCGCTGCTGGTTGCCTTCTGGCTGGCTTTGCGGTGACTGAATCCTCGTTGGGCTGCCCAGAGCTTTGACCCGTGTAGACTTATGCCCCAAACGCCTTCCCGGTCGGAACCAGGCCGGAACATGGCTGCATGGGGGCTGGTAAGTGCAGGCCTGGAACCGGGTGAGGCGGGGAGAAGGAAGCTTCGGGCCGGTGTCGTCGCTTCTGGAGGATTTCGATGGAAAGCTGCGCGAAGTTTTTGAGTTGGGAAGTGAGCGGGTGCCACTATTCAGAGTTACTTTACTTACAGTGTTTCCTCAGGCTTTTTGTAATCCACTTGTGACGGGTAACTTTCTCTTCTGAGAATCTTGTGATTTCTACTTTTGAGCCTAACTTCAGTTCTAGGAATTCAGCAGGTCGCTCAGTGGTAAAGAATCTGCCTGCCAATGCAAGGAGATATGAGAGAGGAGGGTTCGATCCTTGGGTGGGGAAGATTCCCTGGAGGAATACATGGCAACACACTCCAGTGTTCTTGCCTGGAGAATCCCCTGGACAGAGGGGACTGGCGGACTACAGTCCATGAGGTCGCAAAGAATCGGACACCACTGAGCGACTGAGCTTTCAGTTCGTAGTCCTCCCAATAATTTTCTGTCCTTGGTAGTGTTGGAAAGCCTTGGAAGTGACCCGTTTCTTTCAGAATTGCTGGTGTAAAGAGGCAGGTTTCTGACAGGTTTCTGAGAGGCAGCTACTGGTTAAAAGTGTAAGCGGTGAATGACTGAGGGGGCGGAAACTCATTTTTATTGGACAGTTTCTGGACTCCTTGGTATTCACTTTTCTGTACTTTAGATTTACGGTTTTGTTGTTTTAGCCGCTGAATCTCATATCCGACTATTGGCGACCGCATGGCCTGTTATGGTTATTATATGTTATACAACCCTTAGCAGTCCCTATCCTAAACTCCTAGTTTCTACTTTATCTCCCCGTTTAAGATCTTTAGCATTGATGAACTCCCATTTATATTGTTGTGTGTGTATATATATGTGTATATATATATATATATATATATATATATATATGCTTGTATGCATAAAGAAGTTTATTGTGGACGAAAATTGTTGCTCTCCACTTAAGTAAACAGAATGTAGCCCACCTTCAGGCCACCAGAAACTGCAGCTGCCACTAAGTGGCATATATATAGAGAAGCACTAAAATCATTAGCTTGAGGTGTCTTTTTTTTGTGATTAGTAGTAGTTTTGATACTTGATTTTTCTTTTTTCCCCCAGCCCAAACTCCTGTATATCCTAGGTCCTCCCTTACCTCTTCGGAGTAGTTCTCTCTGAGAGTCTGTCTCCTGAGCCATGGTCCTAAGTAAGGTCACCAAATAAAAATTATAAATTTTAAGTTGTGCATTTTTTCCAGCTGACAATTATATATAATGTAAATAATGCATGTGCTCATGGTAAAAAGTACTCTCTATACCAACACTTTTGTACTGTTGACTAAAGAAAAATGCGATGTTGTTGGGTCATTTGGTAAGAGTATGTTTACTTTTGTAAGAAACCACCAAAAAAGTGGCTGTACCGTTTTGCCTTCCAAAATGAGAGTTCCCATTTTTTTCACAATTGGCATTGTCATTTTTCCAGATTTTGGACGCACAGTCAGATATATAGTGGTATCTGGCTTTAGTTTGCATTTCCCATTGACATATGATGTAGAGCATCTTTTCACAAGCTTACTTGCCATTTGTATATTTTCTTAGGTATCTGTTAAGGTCTTTGGACCATTTGTTTTTTAATTGAGATAAAAAATTCTTTCATTCATTTTTATTTGTTGGTGGTGCTGAGAGGCATGTGGGATCTTAGTTCCCTGACCAGGAATTGAACCCACACCTGCATTGGAAACTAGAACCTTAACCACTGGACCTCCAGGGGAGTTCCCTCTTTTTATTGCGTTTTAAGTGTTCTTTGTATATTTTGGATAGCAGCCCTTATGAGATGTGCCTTTTGCAAATATTTTCTCCTGGTCTGTGGCTTATCTTCTCATTCTTTCTTTTTTAAAAACCATGACCAGCGTTTTATTTATATTGATGTTGGCGTGTGTTTAAAATCTATGATCAATAATAATAATCAGTGATATTATTAATAAACAACTTCTTTTCTCATTGTGATCTCACCTGTTACAAATTTCTCCTAGTTTTAGGATGATGCCCTTTAGAATATGGAAAGTTTAGACTGCTTGAAGCTTGTCTTAGTTCTCACATTGACTGCTTTTCCTTCTGTGTGCTTTTCTTGTCAGTCTTCTGTAAGCATTGCCCTTGTGTCTCTTTTCAAAGTTCTCTTTTTTTTTCTTTGTAGTGGTCCTCCCCATTGACTGCACTTGGCTTCTCAGATTAAGGAGGAGAGAGAAAGACAATACTGAAACTGGAAGAGCAGCTGCTGGTTCAGTTTGCTGTGTCTTACTCTTGAATGCAGTTCACTTTTCTTTTCCAACAAAAAGTCTCATGTTTATTACTGAGCCAAAGCAATAGTGCAGAAATGCTGACACAAAGACAAAAATCATTTTCCCAGTAAAACACATCCAGCTATTCATATAGTAGTGACTTTTCAGAGTGCTATGGTAAGGTGCAGGTGCCCTTGGCACAGTATGGATATGTGTGCCGCCTCATGTGCAGGACTCCGTATAGACTCCGTTTGGTTCTTCTCCTGATTTTATTACCAGCTTTTATTCAAATCCACTGGGGAATGGGACGATTCTACTTTTGTTGCTTGTCCAAGAATCACTTGATCATGAAAGTTTGTTGAGAAGATTTGGCTGGGAGTAAATTCCCACAATTCACTCCACCTCCACCCCTTAGCTGTGGCATGTGGGATCTTAGTTCCCTGAGAAGGGATCGAATCCACTACCTGACCTCTGCATTGGAAGCCCAAAGTCATAACCACTGGACTACTGGGGAAGTCCCCCCAAAGTTAGAATTGTTTTGACCCTTTTAGTTTTAATATCTGACTTTGCATGACTCATTTAAAAGACAAAGGGAGAAAGGAGTTGAGAGATTATCCTCAGTCATTCTTGTACTTTAGTGATTTCAGACTGGGTGGAATTTTGCTGTGAAGGAGGTGTTTGGTGTTGCCTGGGAAAATTTCTGGTTTTGAAAAGGCGTGGATGAGGAGGGGGTATAAGGACATTTAGTGGGTGGAGGCCAGGAATGCAGCAAGTATCCTACCAGTGCACGGGACAGGACCTCACAAGTCATTCAGCCCAAAATGTCATCAATGCTAGGTTTGAGAAACTCAGCTGTGAGATATATTATTTTCTTTGAGAAACATAATCTCACAGTGAATGAAAGAATCTGAAATTGAATGAAGATGAGTTGAAATTGAAAGTTTTTGAGTGTTTGAAAATTAATAATTTTTGTATTCTAACTTTTAGTGTAAAATTAAAAGACCTTGTCTGTCTTGTTCACCACTCATTTTCTACTGCACCAAAATAGCATTTGGCCCTCTAGTAGGTGCTTGATTCATATTTGCTGAAGGAATGAATTGTCTTAGCCTTAAATTTTTCTATTTAAAAGAGGAACTGAGTACTTTACAGGTGTTATTTAATGTTCAGAAACATTTGGTGTGAAAATATGACTTTTTCATTTTATTGTGTTAAATTAGAAGAATGACCTTAAATTAGACCTTGGGAGGGAGTTAACTAACATTAATTATCAAGGATTTGCCTAAGTGTTTCAGTGTTGAGTGCTGATGAGAGACCTAAGTGCTTGCATTAATTTTCTATCTTGTGATAAAATGCAGACTCGTTAGATGTCTTTGTTCCTTAGTTTGCTATCTGTAAAATAGATTTAATCTTTTGCTCCTTAGGTACCTCCTGAAATTAACAGGCTATGTGAAAAACTAATTTTCTTGAAAGAAAAACACTTTTATCTCATAAATTTTAGTCTTATTTATTTGGCATGTCAAAAAGATAACAAAATATGTTTTTGTGGTATACAACACTGGCAAAGCTCTGGGAAGAATATAAGCTAGCTTAAGACAAAGTCTCTGCTCTCGGGTTTCTTAAACTCTTAAGAGATGTCTTTATCTTTCTGAATAATTCAATTCAAAAGTGAAGCAAGATGATGAAAATAGCCTAATCTGAGCATCAGGAAAGACCCCTTAGTCTACCTGATGCATGATCTCTATAGTTCTGAGAAGCAAAGGGTAATTTAAAATAAGGGGTGTGTGTGTGTGTGTGTGTGTGTGTGCGCGCGCACAGTAGAAAGTGACAGTGAAACCTGAGGACTTAACTGATGGGTGGATGAGAGCTGGCTGGGAGAGCTGGCTGGGAGTGTGTGTTTAGGAAAAGCTGATCCGTTCTGAGCAATGATGAAAAGGTTTTACTACAGACCTTTATAACTATGAAGGTTTCTACACTTGATCTGAGCTCAAAAAAAAAAAAAAAAAGTGAAGTAAGGTAGCAGTCCCTGTGAGTGGAAACTGCAGTGGCCTAGAGTTGTGTGTAAAGCGTTAGGAGAGTCAGAATGTCAGAGCATGAGTGGGGTAAAGAGAGTGTTCACATGAAGTGGGATTATTTATATCCCATTGGGCCAAGGAAGAGTACAGCTTACTAAGCATTTTATATTGATAATAATTTATTTATTTTTTAAAAGCATACGGTTTATCCTATTACTACCCAGTTTTCAACTTGAAAAGTTAACTTTATAGATTTTATACTTAAAAGATAGGACCCAGATTATCACAAATATGTTTTCCACTTCCACTTTCCACATGTCCATGTGTTTTATTTTTTTCCTGTCGTTTCCATTGATAGGGGCTTCTTCTTTGTTGCTAAGTCATTTCAGTCATGTCTGACCCTTTGTGATGTTATGGACTGTACCCCGCCAGGCTTCTCTGTCCCTGGAATTTTCCAGGCAAGAATATTGGGAGTGGGTTGCCATGCCCTTCTCCAGGGGATCTTCCTGACCCTGAGATTGAACCTGCCTCTCTTACGTCTCCTGTATTGGCAGGCAGGTTCTTTACCACTAGCGCCATGTAATAAATCCCTCTTCTTTTTTGGGGTTGCCTAATTTCTCATTTGGAGACATTCTAGCACGTTTTAATCCTCAGTTTTTCTGATATTTCACTCTTAGTTTCCTAGGTATGACTTCTTGCATTTTCATTATGTTGGTCATTCACTCCTCATCCAGGACGGTATCCTCTGAGCTTACTTTAGGCCGCTTCTTTTATTCTGTCTCATCAATTATCATGTTTCATTTGTTTCCATCTTTCAGAAGTTTGTTATATGTGTTTGTCTGCAGATGGTCCTCTGTTCCATTCTCTTTTTCATTGTCATTTTATGCCCGTCTATTCTTTACTGTTATTTAGAGGGATTGACCTACAGGGAAAGAAGATAAATAGATACTGTTGATGGACTAACTTGAGTTACTGGAAGCCCAGATAGTATGATATTGATGATGAAAGAGGTGTAGGGGGAGATGGAGGAGTAGGAAGAGGAAGAAGACGATGAAAAAAATCCAGGGTAAGGAAATAATATAAAAAAGGTTTGGAAACAGTGAATGTGAGCCAAGTTGTTTTTCACTTGATCCAGAAGAATTCCTCTTTATAGTATTATAGTAGGCAATCAGCAAATACTTGCTGAATGAATAAATGAAGAACTTAACTTTTCACCAAACTGATGATTTACTTGTCTTTCAGGATCATCTCAAAAATGACTACAGAAGAAGATTTTGCCGACCTTCCAGGTAATCTGTATACTTAAGATTTTAAGATAATTTTTATTTCCATCTTTAGAAAGTGGAATTTTTAAATGCAGAAAGGAAAAACTATTACCTCTGACTAAAATAATGATTTATATGTTCATTGGTTAAGTATAGTCATCTTAATTATTTTATATTAATAGAGAAATATTAGTGCAAACAATGCATTGGCTAAATAGCAGTCATAAAAGAAATTCGCCTGATGAGTGTTGGATCAGGAAGAGGCAGTTTCAGTTCTGACTTAATGACAGCTGTGGATAAAGCACTCTACACTTTGAATGGTACTAACAGAAAGATGCAGTTTATTCTGTGGGGCTAAGAAAAAGAAAAGGTGGGTGTGACCCTAAAGGGCGATAGAAGGATCTTTGTGGTGATGGAACTGTTCAGGACCTTGACTATTGTGGTCATAAGTGAATCTTCAAATATGATAAAGTGTATAGAACTAAATACATACACAAACAAACATGCAAATGAGTACATGTAGAACTGGAAAAATCTGAATAAAATTGGTGATTTTTTCAATGTCCATATCATGGTTTTGATAATATATTGTATTATTTTGTGAAATGTTACCATTGAAGAAAACTGGATAAAGTGAACAAGGGATCTCTTTTATATTAATTTTTACAATTGCATGTGAATCTAAAATTATAATTTTTAATTAAATTGTATTGATTCTTTAGTTCCTTAAGATTAAGGGTTCAGTTCAGTTCAGGTCATTCACTCAGTCGTGTACAACTCTTTGCAGCTCCATGAACTGCAGCACACCAGACCTCCCTGTCCCATCACCAACTCCCGGAGTTCACCCAAACCCATGTCCATCGAGTTGATGATGCCATCCAACCATCTCATCCTCTGTTGTCCCCTTCTCCTCCTGCCCTCAATCTTTCCCAGCATCAGGGTCTTTTTCAGTGAGTCAGCTCTTTGCATCAGGTGGCCAAAGTATTGAAGCTTCAGCTTCAACATCAGTCCTTCCAATGAACACCCAGGACTTATCTCCTTTAGAATGGACTGGTTGGATCTCCTTGCAGTCCAAGGGACTCTCAAGAGTCTTCTCCAACACCGCAGTTCAAAAGCATCAATTCTTCGATGCTCAGCTTTCTTTATAAATTGAATCAAAAGTGCATTTGAAATGTAGGGAAGACTGTGTTACTTGGAGCTGTGACTATAGAGTCTTTATTAAAGAAGCATTTCAGGAATGATTGAATTTGTTCAAAACAGTTTTATGTTCTTTTTTAGGTATAGCAGTAGTCTAAAACATAAAACAGCTTTAGACATGGCTATTCAATTAGGGAATATAATTGTTAATGTAGACAATAACATACTGCATCATATACTTTTTGGGAGCTCTTGGTCTCTCAAATACTTGTTTTATCCTCAGATTTTAATGGTGATATTTTTCTTACTAAGTAAAAATTAGCATTTTGTAATAAGGAGATACAGAATTTTCAAGATAGATATTAATAATTAGCAAATATCTTTTAGAAATGATACATTAACATTTTCCCTCTTTGTTTCTTAGTAGGGCACCTGACATTAATACGGAACAAGGCAAGAATATACTGGAAGTCTTATTAGACTGTTTTGAAGAAAAAAGTAAGGTTTCACTTTGAGGATTGGGATGGCTGAAATATAAATTTGTCCACTGACATCAAATTTAGCAAATATGTTCCAGCATTTCAGTATATATTTTCCCAGGAGTTTTAAGTACATGTGCAGTCCTTCATGTACCTTCTGGTATACTGAAGATGTGTGTTAGTTGCTCAGTCATATCCAACTGTTTGCGACCCCATGGACTATAGCCCACAAGGCTTCTCCATCCATGGGGTTTTCCCAGCAGGAATACTGGTGTGGGTTGCCATTTGCTTCTCCATACTGAAGATAATACTGGCAAAAACGAGAATAATTTGTTATTCCATTTAGTTCACACTAGATTCCTATAGTCTGGAATTCTGTAAATAATTATCATACACTAGAGGAAGTATCTTAATAATGGAACTGAATGTGCAGAGTTCTTAAGATCTCTGAAGAGCTTGAAATAACATTTGGTAATTTGTACCCCTTCCTAAAGAAAAGATATATTATGGCAAGTTTTCTTTTAGAAAACTTTTCTAAGTGCTAATCAGTATCAGAAGGAATTGGAATAAAAGCCAACAAAAACAAACAAACAAAACGAAAAAAAGACAACCAAAGAAAGGCACACAAAGTGGAAAAGTATCTCTTCTTTTTAAGTTCTGAAAGATGAGTTGGCACGTACTCCTTGGGGAATCTTGTCTGTCTTTTTTTCAGTTCCTGATGCCTTCTAGGTACATTTGAATATTGAATTGTGTTTGTACTTAAGTTAAACTAATTGTGCTTAAAAGAATCAAAAGAATTCTTCATGTATCATATAGGGCTTCTTTTAATTGTAACCAAAAATTTTTATACGTTTAAATTTTTTTTTTACTTTTTAGGTGTTGCCAATGATTTTAGCAAAAATGCCACAAAATCAGTGCCTTATTCAACACCTAAAACAAAAGATATTTGTATTCAGTCATCAAGCAAAGAGGTAAGTCAAAAAGGGGAGCTTAATGAGTAAAGCTCAATACACAAAATTAGATACATTTTAGTTGTTTGTAAGTCTTATTCTTTAAAAGCAATCCTATATTTCCATTGAGTTTACATGAAATTTAGAGATATTTTATGAAAATTTTGGTCCTACATTTCCTGTGGTTGAAATTGGAGGTCTGGGAATTAGAATAATCAAATTATAATACAATTATTTTTCACTCTTATTGAAGGCAGTTTATTGCTAAACAGGGAAATCAGTCTTTTATTGATTATGTATCTTAAGAGGATACGTTAACTTAACTCTACAAAATAGCCACCTTTGAAATAGAGATATAGACATACATCGTATATTGTGCTTTGCCTGTTGCCCTTCACAGATAGTGCACTTTTTACAAATTGAAGGTTTGTGGCAACCCTCTGTCAAGCCAGTCTTTCAGTGCTGTTTTTTTCTGACAGCGTTTGTTTGCTTCATGTTTCTATTGTCATGTTTTGGTAATTCTCACTATATATGAAACATTTTTATTATTATTATATTTGTCATGATCTGTGATCAGAGATGTTTGAAGTTACTATTGCAAAAAAAATTATGACTTCTAGAAGGCTCAGACAGTGGTTAACATTTTTTAGCAATAAATATTTTTTAATTAAGGTATGCACATTTTTTAGACATAATGCTATTGCACACTTACTGTACTATGGTTTAGTGGAAACATAGTTTTTATATACACTGGGAAATCAAAAAATTCATGTGCCTTGCTTTGTTGTAGTACTTGCTTTATTGGGGTGGTCTGAAACTGAATTTGCAGTATCTGAGAGGAATACCTGTAATGCTAGAAATAACATTCACTAGAAACTTGTATAAACAAATAATTAACCACATATAGCCTTTTGGTTCCAAGGAATGAAGACATCCATTGTTGTCATCATTGAGAGACTTTTTTTAATGTGATAAATGATATTAATTTTTGAAAGTTAAATCAGCTAAGTTTCCTGGGATAATCTTGGCTTGGTCATGAAGTATTAACCAGTTCTGATTTGGTTTGCTAATATTTTAAGATGATTGCATCTATGTTCATGAACAATATTTTCTTTTCTCAAAATGTTCTTGTGGGGCTTTGATACCAAGGGTAGGAGTTCTACTTTCAGGTAGGATGTAACAGATTGCAGTAGGTCAGCGCTTCTGCTGCAACAGCAAGTTTAACAAAAGAATAACATGCAAAAAAACCTCATGTTTTTTAGAGACATGAGAGTTGTGGAAGCAACAAGTACTAGATGAACTAAAAAAGAGAGTGAAATCCTTAGAATAAGGGTTGATGATTGTTAGTCATTTTCTTCCCTGAGAGTATTGCTGATTTTGGGCAAAAGCTGAAGATTTTAGATTGGCCCAAACAGTGAGTCCACTGAGGGAAAGCAGAGCTTTTGACACTTGTGCAGGGATAGCATGACGTGTTGGAATCCTGGAGATTCCCCAAATGGATAACTTTGTTCTTGTTTAATCACTACGTCATGTCTGACACTTTGTGACCCCATGGACTGTAGCCCTCCAGGCTCCTTTGTCCATGGGATTCTCCTGGCAAGAACACTGGGGTGGGTTGCCATTTCCTTCTCCAGGGAATCTTTCCGGACCAAGGATCAAACCTGCATCGGCAGGTGGGTTCTTTACCACTGCACCACATGAGAAGCCCTAGTTTGGAGAGAGAATTTTAATTTAACATTATCCATTGTGTGTGGTAGTTGCTCATTTGGGCCCTACTCTTTGCGACTCCATGGACTATATCCCACCAGACTCCTCTGTCTATGGAATTCTCTGTCCATGGGTAGTATTTGCCTCGGTATATTTTAAAAGGTAAAAATGCTTAAGGTAACACATATGTTGTCTTGGTGGGACAAGGTCAGGATTGGGTAGCCATTCTCTTTAGGGGGTCTTCCTGACTCAGGGATTGAACTCAGGTCTCCTGCATTGCTGGCAGATTCTTTACCATCTGAGTCACATGCTTACACTAGAACCTTTGCCAAATGTTCCAGTGATCGTTATTGGTCTCCTCACTTTCACGAATGTAAAATGAAAATGGAAATTGGAAATTCTGCATACTTAAGAGTTGTACATTGTTAGATTTTGCTGTAGTGTGATCTCTATGGGCCACATCATTGTGAAAAGCTTGTTAATATCTCCAGGCTTTCTTCTCTGACTTGATAAGTTTTTCTGACAAAGAAATCTCTCCTGCTTGGGTGTCTGATTTTAACAGTGAGTGTTCTCAGACTAGTGGGGGCAAGGAGGAAGCTGCATTTTGAATACTTCTACTTAATGTCTCTATTTTCAGTGTGTTACTTTTACCTTCGGTTTTGTCACATGTCTCTGATCTCAGTCTTCTGCACCTTGCTTTTTTGTTTGTTTAACGTAATCATTCATGTTCCTTTAGTTTATTCATTTTTGTATTTGTGATGTTAAATGCCTATATGGCAATTTATTTATCTAATCTTCTTTAGGTTTTTAAAAGCTATTCATTGTTTTTATGATAGGTTATATGAATTTGGTTTCTACGGAGTTATTTAAGTATACAACTTTACCAGCTCATTTCATGTTAAAAAAATTTTTTTTTCAGTTTAAAAACAAATATGTTTAATCAAAATTGGTAATTAAATAGAGGAGATCTAATGCTGTATCTCTTTTAGACTCAGAGCCAGAAATCACATCCAAAGTCAGGTCCAGTTTCTTCAAGGAAGAAAGAAGCCCCTCTGCAGTTAACTGTAGAACCAAATGAAGTTGTCAGCAAATCAGGTTGGTAGCATCCCCATGGGTAATATTTGCCTCAGTGTATTTTAAAAGGTAAAAATGCTTAAGGTAGCACAATGTTGTCTTGGTGGGACAAGGTCAGGGTCAGCCTGGACAGAATTGTGAAATAGATGAAGTTGTTTTCGAGTCTCTCTCAAGTCCATTGGTGTGTGTGTGTGTGTTTTAACATGAATAAGTTTTAAAAATTTTTATTGAAATATAGTTGATTTACAATGTTGTGTTCAATTTCTGCTGTACATATATATGTACAAATATTCTTTTTAATATTCTTTTCCATTATGGTTTATCACAGGATAGACAGGATAGTTCCTTGTGCTCTAAGTAAGACCCTGTTATTTATCCATCCTGTATACAATAGTTTGCATCTGTTAATCCCAAGCTCCCTATCCTTCCCTTCCCAACCTCCCTCCCCCTTGGCAACTGCAAGTCTGTTCTCTATGAGTCTGTTTCTGTTTCATAGATATATTCATTTATGTCACATTTTAAAATTCCATGTATAAGTGATATCACACAGTATTTGTCTTTCTCTTTCTGATTTACTTCGCTAAGATGGACCTTAACCTCTAGGTCCGTCCATTTATGGCAAATGGAATTATTTTGTTCTTTTTAATGGCTGAGTGATAGTCCAGTGCACACGCACGTGTGTGTGTGTGTGTGTTACACACATGTATATACCACCTCATCTATGCATTCATCTGTCGATGGGTATTTAAGTTGTTTCCATGTCTTGGCTGTTGTAAATAGTGCCACTATGAACATAGGGGCCCATGTATCGTTTTGAATTATTGTTTTGTCTGGGTATATGCTCAGGAGTGGGATTGCTGGATCATGTGGCACTTCTGTTTTTAATTTTTTGAGGAAGCTGTACTGTGTTCCGTAGTGGCTATACCAGTTTACATTCCCACCAACAGTGTAAGAGGGTTCCCTTTTCTCCACACCCCCTCCAGCATTAATTATTTGTAGACTTTTTAGTCATGGTCATTCTGACTGGTGTGAGTTGGTAGGTACATTGTTGCTTTGATTTGCAGAACAATGGTTTTATCTGATTATTTTCTGTTTCTTTGTTTTAGTTGTAGGAACACTGCTTACTAGGAATGTGGCAAGAGACATTAAGTAAGAATTATTATAGGGACCACAGCTTTAAGAGTTTTCAAATAGATTTCTCTTTGCCCTTTCCTGTCCTTTTTTTCTTCTTCTTTTCTTTTAATGTTTATTATCTACACAGTTTCCGTGGGTCTGGAATTCAGAAGCAGCTTAGTTAGATGGTACTCGCTTGAGGTTGCAGTCATCTGAAGACTTGACTGGAGCTAAGGATTTATTTCCAAGATGACTCACTCATGTGGGGCTGGTTGCTGGCAGGAAGCCTTACTTTCTTTTCTCCCATGTGGGCCTCTCCACGGACTTATTGAGCATTTTTTTAAGACTGAGGGATAATTTATATAGTATTACTTTCAGGAATACACCATAATGATTTGCTGTTTGACTATACGTGGTCAGTATTTTTCTCTTTTCTCCTTTTGTTCCATTTCTTTTAGTCAGTTATATGTGGTGCTGCTTTTTAAAGTTTTATTTATATTTTTCAAATCAGAAAAGTTCTTCATTTGAGGTAAGAGTCAAAGATTTAAAACAAGAAACTACTAATCCTTATTTCCCTCATCCTGCTGAGGTAACCTTGAATCCTTTCATATCCTTGTTGGTGCTCCTTAATGAATATGTATTCATTTATATATGTATTATATAACATATTTATTATACTTATATATGTATATAAATGTGTGTGTTTATGTGTGCATGTGTATGCACACTTGCGAAAGAGACTGTCACAATTTGCTTTTTACCAGTAATGTAAGAATATACCTTTCACCTGATACACTTTTATTCTACTTTTTTGCCAGTTTGATCAGTATTAAGTAATCTGTTACCTTAGTGTATTTCTGTGATTGCCACTGAGTTTGAACACCTTTTTATAAGTTTACTGGCTATTTGAATTTCTTTTTATCTTAGTTGTTTGTCCATATGCTTTGCCCATTTGTTTCTTCTAGTTTATGAGAGATCTTTAATTGAATATATGTAATTAAATGTCTGTAATATGTGTGACAGGTATTTTTCCAAATGATCCCTTGACTAGTACGGATTTTGGTTATAGTATCTTATATGATAGGTAACATTTTTTATTTGACTTGTCAAATGTTGGATTTTATTTTCCTGTTTCCTGTTTTGGTTAAAAGATTTGTTTTATCCTGAAAGTATATGTAATACTTAGATTTTCATTTTAGTGTCTTTCTTCTTAATTAAAATTTTTAATCCATCTGGAATGTGTTTTGGTATATAATGTGACATAATGTTATAATTTTATTAATTACTTTCTTCACGATGGTCATTTGTGCTAGGTGTGTTCATTAGTTACTTGATCCATTCTCATCTCAATGGGCTACTTTTATCATATATCATTCAATAAGCTTTAAAAAAAGTAATTCATTTTTGGCTATGCTGGGTCTTCGTTCCTGGGTGCATGCTTTCTTTAGTTGCAGTGAGTGAGGGCTACTCTGCATCGTGGTGTGCAGACTGCTCCTTGCAGTGTCCTCTGGTGCAGTGCACGGCACATGGGCTCTAGGGTTCCTGGGCTTCAGTACTTGCAGTGCCCACACTCGGTAATTGTGCACAGGCTTAATTGCTCCATGGCATGTGGTTGTGTCCCCTGCATTGGCAGATGGATTCTTATCCACTGTACCACCACGGAGGTCCCTCAATGTACTTTTGAATTTTGGTCCATTTGTTTCTTCTTAATGTCAACACAATACTGTTTTACTAATAGTATTTTTATAGCAATATGGTGATATAAAGGTGTTTATAGTCACTGTTCTGCCACTCTTAGAAGTTTTTACTTTCTATGAATTTTATTTATTGTTTCCAGTAAAATTTTGTTCTGATTTTCACTAAAGTTGGATTGATTTGTATAGGAATTTTGTGAAAATTCTTATTTTTGTATCATTTAGCTTTTCTACATATAAATATATATCTTATACGTTTATGTCCTTCAAGCTAGTATCACTGATGAACATAGATACAAGAATCCTCAACAAAATTCTAGCAAACAGAATTCAATAACACATTAAAAAGCTCATATACAATGATCAAGTTGGGTTTATTCCAGGGATGCAAGGATTCTTCATTATATGAAATCAATCAATGTCATACACCATATTAACAAATTGAAGATAAAAATGATATGATCCTCTCAATAGATGCAGAAAAAGCCTATGACAGAATTCATCACCCATTTATGATTAAAACTCTTCAAAAAATGGGCATAGAAGGAACCTACCTCAACATAGTAAAGGCCATACATATATGATAAGCCCACAGCAAACATTCTCAATGGTGAAAAACTGAAAGCATTTCTTCTGTGATCAGGAACAAGACAAGGGTGTCCACTCTCACCACTGTTTTTCAACATAGTTTTGGAAGTCATAGCTATGGCAATCAGAGAAGAAAAGGAAATAAAAGGAGTCCATTTTGGAAAAGAAGAAGTAAAACTCCTGCTGTTTGTGGATGACATGAATCTATACACAGAAAACCCTAAAGATAGTCATAAAATTACTAGAGCTAATCAGTGAACTCAGCAAAATTGTGGGATACAAAATCAATACACAGAAATCACTTGCATTCCTATATACTAATGATGAAAAATCTGAGAAATTAAGGAATAAATCCCATTCACCATTGCAACAAAAATAATAAAATATCTAGGAATAAACCTACCTAAGGAAGCAAAAGAACTGTATACAGAAAATTTTAAGACACTGATGAAGAAATCAGATGACATAAACAGAGAGATACTCCATGTTCCTGGGTAAGAAGAATCAATATTGTGAAAACGACTGTACACCCAAATGCAATCTACAGATTCAGTGTGATACCTATCAAATTACCAATGGCATTTTTCATAGAACTAAAACAAAAAATTTCACAATTCATATGGAAACAGAAAAGACCCTGAATAGCCAAAGCAGTCCAGAGAAAAGAATGGAGCTGGAGGAGGCAAGCTTCCTGACTTCAGGTTATCCTACAAAGCTAAAGTCATCAAGACAGTATGGTGCAGGCACAAAATCAGAAATATAGACCAACAGAACAAGATAGAAAGCCCAGAAATAAACCTACACACCTATGGGTACCTTCTTTTTGACAAAGAAGGCAAGAATATACAATGGGGCAAAGATAACCTCCTTAGTAAATGGTCCTGGGAGAACTGGACAGCATGTGTAAAAGAGTGAAGTTAGAGCACTTATCGCACCGTGTGGGCTTCCCTGGTGGCTCAGCTGGTAAAGAGTCCACCTGCAGTGCAGGAGACCTGTGTTTGATCCCTGGGTTGGGAAGATCTCCTGGAAAAGGGAAAGGCTTCCCACTACAGTATTCTGGCCTGGAGAATTCCATGGACTGTATTATAGCCCATGGGGTTGCAAAAGAGTCGGACGTACCTGATGCCATATACAAAGATAAACTCAAAATGGATTAAGGACCTAAATGTAAGAGAGGAAACTATAAAACTTAGAGGAAAACATAGGCAGAACACTCGATGATGTAAAGCAGGATCCTCTATGATCCACTTCCTAGAGTAAAGGAAATAAAAACAAAAACAAGTGGGACCTAATTAAACTTAAAAGCTTTGCACAGCAAAGGAAAGTATAAACAAGGTGAAAAGACGACCCTCAGAATGGGAGAAAATAACAACAAATAAAACAACTGACAAAGAATTAATTTCCAAAATGTACAAGTAGCTCTTATAAGTCAATACCAGAAAAACAAACAAATCCAATCAAAAAGTGGGAAAAAGACCTAAACAGATATTTCTCCAAAAAGACATGCAGATGGCTAATAAACACATGAAAAGATGCTTAACATCGCTCATTATGAGAGATTATTACTATTATAGCAAATCAAAGCTATAATGAGATAACATCTCCCACTGGTTAAGTACATTCTTAGATTTATTTATTTATTTATTTAAATTTATACATTCTTAGATTTTGAAGTCCAAAGTGTCTTCTCTTTAAATACATACATACATACATGTTAATATTCTCTCTATAAAGACATGTATATTGTATATCTATCTATATCTGTTCAGTATGTACATATGTATGTATATGTGCAAAAGTGTGCTCATCTAGCTGCCCTAGTTTACTCGACTCTACCTAAAGATTGAATCTCATAATTTCTCTAGGATTACCTATTACTTATTTTAGCTATGTATGTTGTTGTTTAGTCACTAAGTAGTGTTTGACTCTTGCAACTCCATTCACCAGACTGCTCTATCCATGGGGTTTCCTAGGCAAGTATACTGGAGTGGGCTGCCATTTCCTTCTCCAGGGCATCTTCCTGACCCAGGCGTCAAACCCAGGTCTCTTGCTGGGCAGGCAAATGCATTACCACCGAGTCACCTGGGAAGCCCTTAACTATGTATCAGTTCAGTTCACTTGCTCAGTCATGTCCAGCTCTTTGGAACCCCATGAATCACAGCATGCCAGACCTCCCTGTCCATCACCAACTCCCAGAGTTTACTCAGACTCATGTCCATTGAGTTGGTGATGCCATCCAGCCATCTCATCCTCTGTCATTCCCTTCTCCTCCTGCCCCTAATCCCTCCCAGCATCAGGGTCTTCTCCAATGAGTCAACTCTTCGCATGAGGTGGCCAAAGTATTGGAGTTTCAGCCTCAGCATCAGTCCTTCCAAAGAACACCCAGGACTGGTCTCCTTTAGGTTGGACTGGTTGGATCTCTTTTCAGTCCAAGGGACTCTCAAGAGTCTTCTCCAACACCACACAGTTCAAAAGCATCAATTCTTCGGTGCTCAGCTGTCTTTATAGTCCACTGTCACAACCATACCATACCATACTAGAAAAACCATAGCCTTGACTAGACGGACCTTTGTTGGCAAAGTAATGTCTCTGCTTTTTAATATGCTATCTAGGTTGGCCATAACTTTCCTTCCAAGGAGTAAGCGTCTTTTAATTTCATGGCTACAGTCACCATCTGCAGTGATTTTGGAGCCCCCCAAAATAAAGTCTGACACTGTTTCCACTGTTTCCCCATCTATTTGCCATGAAGTGATGAGACCAGGTGCCATGATCTTAGTTTTCTGAATGTTGGGCTTTAAGCTGACTTTTTCACTCTCCTCTTTCACTTTCATCAAGAGGCTCTTTAGTTCCTCTTCCCTTTCTGCCGTAAGGGTGGTGTCGTCCTCATATCTGAGGTTGTTGATATTTCTCCCAGCAACCTTGATTCCAGTTTGTGCTTCTTCCAGCCCAGCGTTTCTCATGTATAGATTTATTCAAATCTTTAAAACATTTTTTATTTTGTTGTGATCAAAATATTTTAAGTGAGATCTTTCTCAACAGATTTTTAAGTGTATAGTAGAGTATTGTTACCTATAGACACAAAGTTGTACTGCTGCTGCTGCTGCTGCTTTGCTTCAGTCATGTCCAACTCTGTGCGACCCCATAGATGGCAGCCTACCAGGCTCCCCCGTCCCTGGGATTCTCTAGGCAAGAACACTGGAGTGGGTTGCCATTTCCTTCTCCAATGCAGGAAAGTGAAAAGTGAAAGTGAAGTCTCTCAGTCGCGTCCGACTTGTAGTGACCCCATGTTCTGCAGCCCACCAAGTCTCCTCTGTCCATGGAATTTTCCAGGCAAGAGTACTGGAGTGGGTTGCCATTTTCTTCTCCGCAATGTTGTACACTAGACTTCTAATTTATTTATCTTGTACAATTGAAACTTTGCATCTGTTAATCAGCAACTCTGAATTTCTCCCTCCTCCCAGTCCCTGGCATCCACTTTTCTAATATCTTCTTCTATGAGTTTGACTATATTCAAATCTTGAATAAATTTTATGTATTAATAAAACTGTGAATTTTCTATGTTTGAAGCTTTTACTCATTTCAGAACTGTGGAACATGGACCAAATACATCTTTCAGTTTATTAATTTCATAAATTAGAATTCTGAAAGTACTTGTGTATTTTATTCCTAGATCTTTGATTATAAACTTGAAGATTTGTGAGTTTTCTGAAAACTTTCTAATTGTTGCTGAACTTCGGAAAGCACATTTTTTTTTGTTCTAATATTATTTAAAGAGTTTCTAATATCTTCATATAATTTTTTTTCTAGTTCAGGACCATGAGGTTCATCAGAAAATTTTGGCAAATGATGTTCGTTCTAAAAATACATCTGACTTCAGAAAGATGTCAAGTAAAAAACTAAAAGATAATCACACTAAAGCTGATGAGGAGTGTTACTTATCTATTGGCTCACCTTTTGACCTGGATATAAAAGCATCTTCATTGCAAAAGGGTAGTCCATCTGTTGCCCAAAAGAGAGAGACCTACACTTCCGAAAATTCAGTAAATATGCTATCTTCAAGTACAGAGATTTCTCATAAAACCAGAAAAAGGTGAAGTTTTATTTATTTATGAAATATTAATCTTTCTGTAACAACTTCATTTTTTATTTAAAAAAATGGGTAATTTGGTCTCATGTATTTTATAGTAAGTATTGAATATTTACATGTTATGAGAAAAGTAGACATACATTGGGTATATATTCAATTTATATTTACTATGGAAGGCCTTAAAGTGTACTTCTGAAAAGTTTAGGGGTAAACTTTTCTATGGTCTATGGAAAAGCATATTTTTTTTCTTTTAAGATCTAAAAAAAAATTGACATATAGAAGATAATACAGTAGGCACTCATATATTTGACATATGTGAATATTTTGTTATATTCAGATACTTTTTAAAAACATTTTTGAGTGTCATATAGTTGAATTAAAATGTATTAATTACTGCTGTATAGCAAATTGACTCAGTTATGCATATATATATGTATATATATACACACACAATCTTTATCATATTCTTTTTCATTATGGTTTATCACAGGATATTTTTTTTTCTCATAATACATTTTCTCTAGCTTCCTAAGAAAAATAATTTGTATTTTCCATATGTTATTTTTAATTACCAGGGTAGGTATGTATCAGGTCACTTTGAGGGGTAGCAAAGAATAAGTATTGTTGAAGATAATTTGGTGAACCCACATCCATTTCCTGGGGCTTTCTTTTCCTTTGGCCTAAGAAGCAAAATTGATTGTTCAAGGTCCTTTGCTATTGGAAAACCTCTGCCGTAAGTATAATATCTGTATAGGGTCTTTCCTCTTTGATTCTTGGAGCTGAGGAGTTAAGTACACTCTAAGATTCTGCAGTCCAAAGTGTGTTCTGCAGCTCAGGATCGAGAGAAATGATATTATATGAAAGCCTGTTAGAAGTACATAATCTCAAACTCTATCCTAGACCTATTGAATCAAAATCTACATTTTAATAAGATTCCTCAGAGGATTCAGATTCATATGAAATGTTTGAGAACTAGTATTTTAAACTACAATTTGACTTGTTATATGATTTAACCATCCTTTTTCTCTTTTTTTTTTTTTCTGTCATCAAATACAAAATTTAATTTTTCTGAACAATTTGTCTTGTGTAATTTGTGTGAGAGAAACACATCAGCATTTATAAAGTTTAAATAAAGGCCCATCAGAAAATTTTGAAAGTGGTTGTATTATCACTGTAGGGAAGTTCAGGAAAACTTGTAACTCAGCAAATGGTGGAAACATTCAGCTTGTTGTCCTTCTAACCTTTTAGGTTAAACTTTGAAGATAAAGATGCTTTGAAGAAAGTAGAAATAATGAATGAAGTATCAGAAATAGAGGATAAAGTATCAGAAGGACCGCAAGAAAGGAGACAGTCAGAAACATCTCAAGAAAGAATACAAGATTCAGAATATGAAAATCAACCGCGAGCTAGGAAGAGTTTTTCAACGTTGTTTTTAGAAACTGTGAAAAGAAAAAGTGAATCCAGGTAAGTTATTAAGAAATGGTCCAGATTTTTCTTTCACATTCTTTGAATAGTACCTAAGGATTCTTAATGACATTTAACTAGAAGTTAATCTTAATTGACATAATTTTTAATTGAAATTATGTTTAACCCATAAGGAGAGTGAATTTCTTACCAGTAAACTAACCCCAAAGCCATCATTTAATGGATTCTAAATTAAATGTGAAAGAAAATAAGTTTCTTCAGCTTTTATTACTTCTGTTCATCAACACTTTCTAGTATATATGATATCAAAAAATAAAGGCAGTATTTAAAAGAAAAATTGTCAAGGTGCCTATGTGTCATTGTTAAGTGTTTTAAATATTTTTTTCTATTTCTTTTGATTGTGTTAGTAAAATGGTAGTCCTAAAATAAATTTTAATCTGTTCTTGCCTACTTAAAAGCCTTCAGTAGTTCCACGGTGTCCACATAGTGATTTTTAACTGGCTGCACATAGAGTTAACTGGAATGAACAGCAGCTAGGGCTGAGAGCCACTGGCTTACTGAGTAAGTGTCAGAGTTGTCAGCTGGTGTTTGGGGCTTCCCTGGTGGCTCAGACAGTAAAGAATTTGCTTACAGTGCAGAAACTCGGGTTCAGTCGCTGAATCTGGAAGATCCCCTGGAGAAGGGAATGGCAGCTCACTCCAGTATTGTTCCCTGGAGAATTCCATGGACAGAAGAGCCTGGCGAGCTAGGTCCATGGGGTCGCAGGGAGTCTACACGACTGAGTGACTGTCACTTTCACTTTCACTTTATAGCTGGTATTTAAGGCCTTCACTCTCACTCGTGAACTGTTTCTGTCGCATGTATTTGCAGTTGTCCTGACTTTGGCACACTCTTTCCCCTTGTCATATGCCAATTTATATTTTCTTCTGAAAGTTTCACTCCAGTGTTTTTTAAAATAATTTCTTACCTTGTATTATGGTTTAACTATTTTATGTCTGTCTTAGCAGATTATGACATAAACCCATCTTTCTGGGAGTGTAGTTTCTTTTGTATTTTCTATGAGATCTATCAGAGTGCTCGCAAATCTATTAGGAAGGTTTTATAAAAACATTGAATGAATGAAATTCCTCTTTCAGTCTCTGTTCCATAGTTGGCTCCTCCCTCCCTCCACCTCCATAGTCTTGCTCCTTCTCTCCCATCTCTCCTTCTCTTTCTCTGTGTGTGTGTACACATAGGTACATATGGCATTTTTATCCCTGTATGCATGTTGTCCCTGCTGCTGCTGCTGTTGCTGCTGCTGCTGCATCGCTTCAGTCGTGTCTGACTCTGTGCGACCCCATAGACGGCAGCCCACCAGGCTCCCCCGTCCCTGGGATTCTCCAGGCAAGAACACTGGAGTAGGTTGCCGTTTCTTTCTCCAATGCAGGAAAGTGAAAAGTGAAAGTGAAGTCACTCAGTCGTGTCCAACTCTTCGAGATCCTGTGTTCTGCAGCCCACCAGGCTCCTCCTCCGTCCATGGGATTTTCTAGGCAAGAGTACTGGTATCTGATACAAATATGTTACATTTATGGACTAATTATATGTGTGTCCAAAAGAGTAATTATTTTTTAATAATTTTTTTTGATAAACTAGTGAGTATAGTTTGTTTAATTGCTATAACCAGATATAACTGTTCATTATTTCTCATGTTTGCTTCCTTCTTTGTTTTGCTTATGCTTTTCCTTCTGATTCTTTCTTGCATGTTCTCATAGCCAAATCATATCTGTTCTTCAAGATCCAACTCAAGTGGCATTTTTCCACTGAGCCAGAAGTCATCTTTCTGTATTCTGAATTTTAATATTTAATTAAAATTGTATTTTTAATTTGGGCTGCTAAATAGACCAGCATAGTCTGGATGGCTTATAAGCAACAGAAATTTATTTCACAATGCTAGAGGCTGAGAAGTCCAAGATCAAGCCAAAGCTCAAGTAGATTCAGTGTCTGGTGAGACCTTCTTCCTGGTTCATGATGGCTATCTTATTGCTATAACCTCAAATGGTAAAAGGTAGTGAGGGAGTTTTCTGGGGTTTCTCTTATAAAGGTGCTAATTCCATTCATGAGCCATTGCACCCTAATTACCTAATTACTACCTAAAGACCCCACCCTAAAATACCATCATATTGGGGATTAGGTTTTAATTTATTAATTTCAGAGGGATATAAACATTTGATCTGTAGTAAGTGTCAAGGTTGTTTCTGAAGGATATCTTTGGTTTGAATAACCTTAAAGTCATGAAAGTCTCTTGAAACAGAATAAAGGAGGGATGTAGAAAGTTCTTATTGGCTGGTTTGGGAAAACTTTTATTTTTAAATACATAGCATTATTTTTTGTTTTTCTGGCTGCCTGGTATGTGGGATCCTAGTTCCCTGTCCAGGGATTGAACCCGTGTCCCCTGCAGTGGGAGTGCAGAGTTCTAATCACTGGACCTCCAGGAAGTCCCTCAGATTACTTCTTTAATGTGTGGCATTAATAGATATTGCAGGTATATTTGTTGTTCTTTAGTCCCTAAGTTGTGTCCAACTGTTTTGCAACCCCAGAGACTATATATAGCCCACCAGACTCCTTTGTCCACATAATTTCTCTGGCAGGAATGCTGGAGTGGATTGCCATTTCCTTCTCTCCATACCCTCTCCTGCATTGGCAGGCTGAGTCTACCACTGAACCACCTGGGAAGCCCTACAGATAATACACAATAAAGCAAGTTAAACATATTTCTATCAGATTGGCTAATAGTGCTGAAAAATAATATTTCTGTTTAATAATATTTCTGTATAAATCTTCTATTTATATATTATATAGTCTTCTATTTATACTTTTTTTATTAGATTTTCTAGGTTTTTCTAAAACTATAAACTTTATAAGCTATAGTTTATAGTTTATAAACTATATAAACTTGTAAGACTGCCTATTAAGATATATTTCTTAGCATATATATGTATATGTTTTTTATATTGGAAGATTTATGAGGTGTTTGAGATTAGAGAAGTATAGAAGGCATTTTCATATCATAATCTTTTTTTTTTCCATAATCTTTTTATGAAGGGAAAAAATAGAGACATGATAATCCAATTTTTCCATCCTAGCTTTTCTTCTAATGTGTAAAAAATAGTTAAGCATCCTTGCTGCTAAGTCACGTCAGTCGTGTCCAACTCTGTGTGACCCCATAGATGGCAGCCCACCAGGTTCCTGTCCCTGGGATTCTCCAGGCAAGAATACTGGAGTGGGCTGCCATTTCCTTCTCCAGTGCATGAAAGTGAAAAGTGAAAGTGAAGTCGCTCAGTCGTGTCTGACTCTTCATGGCCCCATGGACTGTAGCCTACCAGGCTCCTCTGTCCATGGGATTTTCCAGGCTAGGATACTAGAGTGGGGTGCCATTGCCTTCTCCGTAAGCATCCTTACTCAAGTGAAAAAGGCAGGAAAAGGGGTACATGCACTGCCTTCGGAATTTGAATGTTTGCCCTATTTATTTTTGCATGTTTCACTCTAGGATATGGTTTGTTCATGGCTGTTGTCATAAAGAGGAAGGAAATGCAAAATTATTCTATCAGATTAAACACATACAAAAAATGTGAATTTTCAAACTTGGAATGAATTTTTATATAATATAATTTATAATTTAGTCTGTAATTTAGTAGTGTTTTCTTAAATTGTTAAACTGGAAGGTGTCTCAAAAATAATCTTGTTTTGGATGTTAAGAAATTCATGCCCATGAGACATCTATAAAAACAAAATTTAACATTATAATAATGGCATGCGTTTTTATACTGTGAGTATATCTGAGCAGTATTTATACACCTCTGGGTTTCATCTGTTTAATATTTCTAATGAATGGGTAACCTGAAATTAGTTGATGAAGTCTGTATAGATGCTTCCAGCTTTAAATTTTTGTGATCCCATCAATATTATAAATGAGTATGCTCAGATATTATAGAAATGTAAAAGGAGGGAAAGATTTTAAAGTGTAAGAAAAAATTGAAGAGACATGTCAACTGCTCTTTAAAGCAAAGATATAAACTTTACTTTTTTGAGCTATTATTTATTGTAACATTCTGTTTTAGTTCTGTTGTTAGGCATATAGCAACTGTACCACCTCATTTATCTCCTGCAAATAATTTGAAGTTATTGGAAGATGAGTTTATAATTGATGAATCAGATAAAAGTTTTGTCAGTCAACCTTGGATTACTATACCAAGAAAGACTGGACCTCAGAAGCAGCACACAGCATCCCCTGCTGAGAGCACTGTCCTTCAAAAGAAGAAGTCAAGAGGAAAACATGACAATGTATCATCTATGGCTTTGACAAGTAACAAGCATCCTGGCAAAGCTCACCCAGTAGAGAAATCTCAACCCTCTGAACAAAACATGCTGGGTGGGAGTTGTGCTTTGACAGATGAAGTAGAAAATAATTGTAAATCTACAAAATATGAAATACTTTCTGAGAATGCGGAAAAAGCATCTGGAGCCAAAAGGACTATAAAACCAAAACAGAGAACAAAATCTAAGGCCAGCGTACCTGAAGAAGAAGTTGATATGAGGCAATCTAAAGATAAAAATATATCACATACTGTCCAAGACAAGTTACAAAGAAATTCAGACAAAAATATGGAAGAGGGTGAAGAGATAAGCATTAGCATTTCCAAAAATCTGGTGCTCTATGTGGGTAAGTGTTTATATTAAATGTAACTGTGAATATTAGTCTAACACTTTGCTTTTTATAATATTCCTATTTAGCATTGGGAAGTAGGCATTTAATCTGTACAAAGCCTTGAAAGCCTGCAAGCTCTTTGCTAGAGTCTCTGTATTTTACATTTTACTTCAGCTCCAGGTCTCTTGATTTTGGGTAGCTTCTAAGATTACAGCATATGGAAAGGGAGAAGTAAAAGGCAAATGCTTAGTAAACCAGGTAGTTACCAGAACACAAGTATGACAGCATCATATATTCTTGAGGCTTATTAAAATATAAATTTGGATAAGAAATCAGCTAGTTGGTCTAGTTCTTGCAGATAAAAATTAATACTCCTCTGTTCAATTATTTACTCATTTATCTAAAAATTATTGAATGTCAGACTGTATTAGGCTCTGAATTTACAAAGATTGCTAATAAATAATTTTCATCATTAAAAAAGATCCATCTGTTAATGTCTGTAGACCAACAGATAAATATACATACATCCACAGGATGATATTGGAAGCACAGAGAATAATCAACTTAACTAGTAACTCAAAAAACTGTCTATTTTGGGACAGTATATCATTTATTTTTCAAACTGGGACACATGAAAATGGGAGAGGATGTCATGACTGTGAGCATAAACTCCGATTGCCCAGGGAGACCTGAAATACAACCTCTTTCTTATGCCATCTCTCTGCATGGTGATTGAGGTTTATAATGGTGACAGTATCATGAAGAAAAGATCAACTTGTGCTTTTTTGTATCACTTTTTAAAATTGAAGTATAGTTGACTTACAGTATTGTGTTAGTTTTAGGTGTATGGCAAACTGAATCAGTTAAACACACACACACACATTCTTCTTCAAGTTCTTTTCTCTTACAGGTTATTACAAAATACTCAATATAGTTCCCTGTGCAGTATAGAAGGTCTTTATTGGTTGTCTGTTTCATTTATAATAATGTGTATCTGTTAATCCCAAACTCCTAATTTACCTCCATCTCCTATTTGTATCTTTTTTATTTTTTCTGTAGGTTCCACAATAAGGGATATCATATGATAATTGTTTTTCTCTGTCTGGCTTGTATCACTAAGTATGCTAATCTCTAAATCCATCCATGTTGCTGCAAATGGCATAATTTCATTCTTTTTTATGGCTGAGTAATACTCCATTGTGAGTATGTGTGTTTGTGTGTGTATGTATGTAATTACCACACCTTTGTTATCCATTCATCTGTGGATGGACATTTAGTTTACTTTCACGTCTTGCTATAGTTAGTAGTGCTGCAGTGAAAGTTGAGTTGCATGTATCTTTTTGAATTACGGTTTTCTCTAGATCCATGCCTAGGAGTGGGTTTGCAGATCATATGGTAATGCTATTATTAGTTTCTTTCTTTCTTTTTTTTTTAAAATTTTTTAATTGAAAGAAAGTTACTTTACAGAATTTTTTTTTTTTTGTCATATGTCAGCAAGAACCAGCCATAGGTACACCCATGTCCCCTCCCTGCCGAACCTCCCTCCTGTCTCCCTCCACATCCCACCTTTCACATCCCAGCTTGTCACAGAGCCCCTGTTTGGGTTCCCTGAGCCATACAGCAGATTCCCATTAGCTGTCTATTTTACAGATGGTATTTTAAATTTCCATGTTACTTTCCATACATCTCCCCTTCTCCCTCCTTCCGTGCCCCCATGTCCATAGGTCTGTTCTCTGTGTCTGTTTCTCCATTGCTGCCCTGAAAATAAATTCATCAGTGCCATCTTTTTAGATTTCAAATATATGTGTCAATATATGATGTGTATATTTCTCTTTCTGACTTAACTGCACTCTGTATAATAGGCTCCAGGTTCATCTACCTCATTAGAACTGACTCAGATGTGTTCCTTCTTATGGCTGAGTAGTATTCTATTGTATATGTACTGCAACTTTTATCCATTCATCTGTCAATGGACATCTAGGTTGCTTCCATGTTCTAGCTACTGTAAATAGTGCTGCAGTGAACATTGGGTTACATGTGTCTTTTTCAGTTTTGGTTTCCCCAGGTTGGATGCCTAGGAGTGGGGTTGCTGGGTCATATGGTAGTTTTATTCCTAGCTTTTTAAGGAATCTTCATACCGTCTTCCATAGTGGCTGTATCAGTTTACATTCCCACCAGCAATGCAAGAGTGTTCCCTTTTCTCCACACTCCAGCATTTATTATTTGTAGACTTTTTGATGATAGCCATTCTGACTGGTCTGAGGTGGTATCTCATAGTTTTGATTTGCATGTCTCTAATAATGAGTGATGTTGAGCATCTTTTCATGTGCTTGTTAGCCATCTTTATGTTGTCTTTGGAGAAATGTCTCTTCAACTCCCTTTTGCACTTTTTGATTGGGTTGTTTGTTTTTCTGGTATTGAATTGTATGAGCTGCTTGTATAATTTGGAAATTAATTCTTTGTGAGTTTTTCCCTTTGCTATTATTTTCTCTCATTCTGAGGGTTGTCTTTTCACCTTGCTTATAGTTTCCTTTGCTCTGCAAAAGCTTTCAAGTTTAATTAGGTCCTACTTGTTATTTCTGTTTTTATTTCCATTACTCTAGGAGGTGGGGCTTCCCCTTGGCTCGTAAAGAGTCCACTTGCAATGTGGGAGACCTGGGTTTGATCCCTGGGTTAGGAAGCTCCCCTGGAGAAGGGAAAGGCTACCCATTCCAGTATTCTGGCCTGGAGAATTCCATGGACTGTATGGGCCACGGGGTTGCAAAGAGTGGGACGCACTGAGCGACTTGCACTACGCTGCTCTAGGCGGTGGGTCACGAAACCCTTGCTTTGATTTATGTCATCGAGTGTTTTACCTATGTTTTCTTCTAAGAGTTTTACAGTTTCTGGTCTTACGTTTAGGTCTTTAATCCATTTTGAGTTTATCTTTGTGTATGGCATCAGGTAGTTTTCTACTTTTTCATTCATTTGCACATAGCTGTCCAGTTTTCCTAGCACCACTTGTTCAAGAGGCTCTCTTTGCCCCATAGTATATTCTTGTCTCCTTTGTCAAAAAGAAGGTACCCATGGCTGTGTGGGTTAATCTCTGGTCTCTCCGTCTTGTTCCATTGGTCTGTGTTTCTGTTTCTGTGCCTGTCCCGCGCTGTCTTGGTGACTGTCGCTCTGTCATGTGACCTGAAGTCGGGAAGCTTGCCTCCTCCAGCTCCACTCTTCTTTCTCAGGACTGCTGTGGCTATTCGGGGTCTCTTGTGTTTCCATATGAATTGTGAAATTTTTTGTTCTAGTTCTGTGAAAAATGCCATTGGTAATTTGACGGGGACCGTGTTGCTGTAGATTTCATTTAGTAGTATAGTCATTTTCACAATATTGATTCTTCCTACGCAGGAGCATGGAATATCTCTTCATCTGTTACAGTGTCTTTGATTTCTTCAGCAGTGTCATAATTTTCTGTATACAGGTATTGTCTCCTTACATAGATTTATTCCTAAATATTTTATTCTTTTTGTTGTAATGGTAAAAGGGATTGATTCCTTAATTTCTCTTTTTGATTTTTCATTGTTAGTGTATAGGAATGGAAGTAATTTCTGTGTTTTGACCTTGTATCCCATGACTTTGCTGAATTCACTGATTAGCTCTAGCAATTTTCTGATTTTAAGCAGTTTCTTTTGGGTTTTCTATGTATAGTATCATGTCACCTCTAAACAGTGAGAGTTTTACTTCTTCTTTTCCAGTCTGTACTCCTTTTATTTCTTTTTCTTCTCTGATTGCCATAGCTATGACTTACAAAATGATGTTGAATAATAGTGGTGGGAGTGGACCCCCTTTTTTTGTTCCTGATCTTAGAGGGAATGCTTTTACTTTTTCACCATTGAGAATAATGTTTGCTATGAGCTTTTCTTATATGGCCTTTGTTATGTTTAGGGTCCTTCTATGCCCATTTTTTGAAGCGTTTTTATCATAAATGGATGCTGAATTTTGTTGAAGCCTTTTTCTGCATCTATTGAGATGATCATATGGTTTTTATCTTTCAGTTTGTTAATATGGTGTATCATGATTGATTTGTGTATACTGAAGAATCCTTGCATCCCTGGAATAAACCCAACTTGATCATAGCATATGAGCTTTTTAATGTGTTGTTGAATTCTGTTTGCTTGAATTTTGTTGAGGATTTTTGCATCTATGTTCATCAGTGATATTGGCCTGTAATTTTCTTTTTTCATGTTGTCTTTGCCTGGTTTTGTTATCAGGATGATTGTGATCTTGTTGAATGAACTTGGAAATGTTCCTTCCTCTGCAATTTTTTTTTTAAGAGTTTCAGAAAAATAAGCATTAGCTCTTCTCTAAATGTTTGATAGAATTCCCCTGTGAAGCCATCTGGTTTTTGGGAGATTTTTGATCACTGTTTCGATTTCAGTGTTTGTAACTGTGTTGTTTATAATTTCTATTTATTCCTGGTTCAGTCCTGGGAGATTGACCTTTCCTAAGAATCTGTCCACTTCGTCTAGGTTGTCCATTTTATTAGCATATAGTTACTCATAATATTCTCTTAGGATTCTTTGTATTTCTGTGTTATCTGTTGTAACCTCTCCTTTTTCATTTCTAATTTTGTTGATTTGATTTTTTTCCCTTTTTGGCTTGATGAGTTTAGCTAGTGGTTTGTCAGTTTTGTTTATCTTCTCAAAGAACCAGCTCTTAGTTTTATTGATCTTTGCTATTGTTTCCTTTATTTCTTTTTCATTTATTTCTGCTCAGATTTTTACGATCCCTTTCCTTCTGTTGACTTTGGTCGTTTTTTGTTTTTCTCTTTCCAGCTGCTTTAGAAGTAGAGTTAGGTTGTCTATTCAGTGCTTTTGTTGTTTCTTGAGGTGTGATTGTATCGCTATAAACTTCCCTCTTAGAACTGCTTTTGCTGAATCCCATAGGTTTTGGGTTGTCATGTTTTCATTGTCATTTGTTTCTAGTAATCTTTTGATTCCTTTCTTATTTTCATTTACCTCTTCATTATTTATTAATGT